AAAATGTATTTAAAATGCATAATAGGCCTATTATTTACATGTCCGTAACTGATCAGCGGGAAAAATAGTTCTCCTAGATTTGCAATTGTAAGCTAATAACTAACTTATATAATTTATATAAAATAAGCAATTTAAATACGGACTGGATTTTTATTTCCAGCTTATAATAGACAGTGTATATGTACGGACCACCTCCCTCCCAACACTTCCTCAATAAGGGGAAGTTTTCAGAACAAACGTCCCACGCCTGCAAATTAGTCTAACTTAAAATCTCCGATGTTGGCGTCAAGTTGATTGGTATACCTTGAATATAGCCTACAGTATGGCTTTGATTCGATGTTTATTTACGGTATTTTATTGAGTACAGTAGGCCCTAGTCTCAATATCTTCAGGGAATAATCCAGAACTTTTACAACCGGGCGTGGGGGAGGGGGGCCAACCTTTATTTTAGATAAGAGTAGCGATTATTTCAATATACAACCGCGATAAGCATTGAAATTTTAAAATTTATTACCAAAACGGGGGAGGAGGGGGAGCACCTTCCACCTTCCCTCACTATATCCTCCCCTGATTGTTGTATACACAATTTTATACTTCAGGCAATGCGGATTTTATCATCCACTCAGACTAACCTTTCACTCCAAAACACAACCTGGCCCCTATAATATCTGGTCTCTCTGAAAATACGTCTGCGTGTTTGATGAGCAACTCTCGGGCTAGCTTCGCATCGTTGACTATAATGTTTCTCTTCGAACCTAGGTAGAACGTGACTACCGAACCGTATTGCTTTGCCCATTGTGTAAATGATTTGGATGGATTTTCACGGTTGATCCAAGGAATAGATCCTAGCAAAGGGAGCCTGGGTGGGCCAGGCGGTAAGTTAATTTTTTGTTGTCGTTTCCTCTCAGTGTAAATGAGAGACACGATTGCGACAAAAGCCAGTAGCTGGTAGAATCGAACACTAACATTCTGAAAATACACTGAAAGCAAGTTTAAATCAGCAGCCTCTCCCATGTTCGCGGTGCAGTTCAACTGAAATTCACACCAGGCTGATTCACACGTCACGCTTCAATTCAATTCAATCGAATCCGTACAAATACACAATGTCAATAATACTTTCATGTTGCCAAAGCTCACTCTATGAACCTTATCCATAATTATGCTCTGAGGTAAGCCTATAATATTTATGATTGACGTCACAAATACATGTTAATTTCATATACGTCCTTTTACTACTCATGTGTTTCGCATTAGAGACTATCCTATATTTTCATCAATTTCGCACGAGTGCAAACGTACCATCTTATGATCTAAATATGCCCAAAAAATAATTTAAAAAAAACAATAAAAAAATATAAAAAAATTATAAAAAAAACATTTTATCATTTTATTGTGTACACTTTCAGAGAGAGGGAAGATCGAGGTAACAGAAAAGAGTATAATGTGTATATACTCTCCTGAATGATCAAGTACATATGTATTAAAAGGAAATCCCCGGATTTGTCCACAAAGTACTCTTAAACACGTCTTCATTATTGTATCCATTCATTTGTGGCTTATAGTTACAGTATCTTAATATTAATAACAATATTATATATCATTTTGTATTTACAGGTATTGATTAAAATGTTTAAACAGGTGTTCACGTCAAAAATGTTAATATTGTCATTAATATTAAAAATTAAAGATTCACCAGGCTAATATTTTGTACTACTCTTGACGGTGCAATTGACGTCCACTTTTTCACTCATATCGCTAAATGTTTTTTTAGATTGTTGTAGCAATTGAATACAATTTTAAGTAGTCATATGACAAAAATAGGGGTGGCACTCAAAATGTTTAGAAAGTGCTGCGGAGCTCTCCTGACGAGGAGGTGGGGGTTGGGAAGGATGGTGGCCCTGAATGAAAATCATAACTGTGTTGTCTGTCTGAAAGAGGTACCGGTACACAAGGACAGCAGGGGCGGATGCAGAGGGGGGGGGGGGATACAGATGGTGCTGTCGTACCCCTTAAATTGTATTAAGAAAAATAATTGTTGTATTTTATTTTTGATATGAATTATTGGTAACATTTTTAAGGTATGAGAATTTGCAATTTCCAGGCACCCAAAGGTCCATATTCTCAGAATGTTCGTACCTCAGCCCCAACCATGTTGGAGCTGAGGTGGTGTGGACTCTCATGCACCCATGGGAGCAGATCATGGAGGAAGGGGAACACGTTCCCCCACATATTTTTAAGGGGAAGAATTTGTCCTCCTCACTGTGAGTGAGTCAAGAAGATGCTTAAAACATTGTTGAAATAAACGGCATAAATAACTCAGGTTTTAAGAGCTCTGTACAGCCAGAGTAGGCCTACGTCTTATTTTATCCTCTTTAGACCTGACATTAAAATATTCAACAAATCATTGTTTTAAAGGCTGAAATAGGACATTTGTATCCTAATTAGAAGGTATGCAAAGTTTTTTTTTTCCTGGCGAGGGGTTTTTGAGATACAAAAAAAACAGTAAAAATAAAAGGAATTAGCGCCCTCAATTGGACCAAAGCCCCACAACTTTTCATTTATTTGACCATTTGACTATGTTTTGATGAAGTTGTTATAGTTGTATGATATGGAAAATCAACTAGAGAGGGCAGCAGATACTTTTTCTGGAACATCAGTCAGTAGTTCCAGCCAGACCTTCCAAAACAAAATGTGGTCATTACTACCAAGGATGCTAGAGCTAGATACCGGTATCTCTGACAACTAAACATCTGAAATTACCTATAATACAACTCGAGTGCGCGTACCTTTATTATAATTTGAGAAGTAAGAAAGTGGGTAAAGCAAAGTAAATACATCAAAGACAGTTAATTTTGTTTTCTATTGTACATCACAGCGAGTAATTAGATCGATAATGATGGATGAATTTTACTATATAAGAAGAGTGTTAAATCCGGCAATCTAGGTACAATTTTCCTCAAATTTTACCGCCTGAGATGGGTGTGGACTCACGGTTTTGAAGTTAGTAAATACATCAAAGACAATGTTTTTAAGTTTTATTTTTTATGGTACCGTACATCACACATATTAATTAGATGGTGCCGAAAATAGCTGATAAAAGATTGTTGGCGCTTCATTTTGACGTGATGTGATGATGAGTTTCACTATTTAAAAGTGTCATTTCCCGGCCACCTAGAGATACTATTTCCTCAAATTTAATATAATTATGATGTGACGATGAAGTGTCATTTCTACAGGTACTATTTCCTCAAATATTTGCTCCTCAGCCACAAACCACGGTGGATGTGGACTCCCGAAATGTCCCCCACCTTCGAAAATAGATCTGCACGCACCCCCTACCGCCAATTCAGCATCCGCCCCATGGTGAAGTATTTTCATTCATCTGGCCATGTAAGTTGGTATGACATGTCTATTACGTTCCTCCAAAAGCATGTAAGAAGTCATCAGGAGCTCTTTCGTTTTTGAGCGCATATTTTAGTGTACAGTACATCAATGGTGTATTAGCTACGGTACGTTTGAACATCACACTTAAGGTTTTATTTTATGCATGCAATCGATTAAAATGAGGTAATCATGATCACCTTTCATATCAATGTGAAAAACTACTTTCATAGGAAGGACATAAACTGACGAGTGTAAGGCCTATTCTGTTTATATATATATATATACATATATATGAAGAAGGCGTGTCCACGTGTGTTTCGAAACATATGTAGAATATAATATAACGTAACAGTAAAGAAACTCAAATACGTAAGATGTTGACTTTAGAAACACTAAAATTTATTAGGCGAATATTTCGGCTACTCCTGTAG